AGACGTCTCAGGCCGCGTCTCTTGGATTCCTAAATGTAGTGAGGTGGCAGACATCTCCTGCTCCCAGATCAAATTTTATATGTTTATGATCCGACATTCACGTGTCAACACTAACATGCCAGCCGGTTATAAGTCCGGCTAGTCTTGCCGTAGAGAAAGTAATGTCCAGAATTTCTTGTCTTGACCTAGTAACAAAAGTTGGTGTACATCCTTCGTTATTAAGATACAGGCAATTTGATAGGATAAAGTCATATAGTAACTCGCCTCTGTTATTGATGTCCGAGGTCTCCCAAGCGGTGTGGTGAGCGTTGGCATCACATCCCACCAGAAGCTCTGCTTTGTGTTTTTGAGCGTATTCCGCCAGTCGTGTCAGATCTTACGTGGAGCTGTTCTTTTCTCCAGGTAAATAGGCTGAGCATAAGATTATCTTGGCCCGAGGGCTTTTCCGGGGAAATAAATATGCTGCTACAAAGTCGTCAGTACAGAACTCTGGAACAGGCACAAGGTTAATTTTTGTCATAAACAATGCACGCTCTGGATCTACTTCCACAAGTGTTGTAGATCGACTTTGAGTCCCATTACGTTTGTGTAGTTAAGCCAAGGTTCCTTAATGAGGGCGACACCCATATTGCCTTTCGCGAAGCAACACTCCACCACAGCCACGGCATGGTGGAGGTTTGCTTGGAGAACCCTCACCCTTTCCCCCGTGGGCGCCATCTAGCGGGGATTAAAACCCCGGCCGCGTTGCTGCCCCCGACGCTACGAGGACGAGACCGTCCTCGTGAGCCGCACGGGTTGGCAGCCCCGCGCCCTTGCACTCCTCCACGTGCCGTACTATGGCCACGTGGGTTCGGTGCTGAAAACCACGGTCCTGAACTATCTAGGCCGTCATTTAGTGCCATTACTGTGGCAATTTTAGGCCGAACCGCCCCAGTACTGGCACTTTTGTGGACTGCGCTGTTTGGACTACACCCGGGACAGCGGGTGCTGTCCGAGTGTGCACCGTCTCCCGTCCACGATTCTTCTGGGGCGATGCACCCAAGATTCGCAGACGGGGCAGCCCCGTCATGTTTTCCCTGGGCCGTGGAAGACGGGTCAGGCGCGGGGCATCTGCGCTGAGGTTCCCAGCCCCGATTCTTCGAGGGGACTAGTAACCGACCCTGGTTTCGTGACCGAGGCACCCGCGCTGTGCTGCCGTTGAAAGTGCAAGGCACCCCTTGATCTTAAACGTGACCTGTTTAAAACCAAGGTGTGACCGGCAATTTGAGGCACGGAGATTCTCCACAGATGGGTCATCAAGAGCGAACGCGACTACCCATCCGTTCGCATCTTCCCTTGCGTGAAGAATCTTCCATACTTCCGTACGGAGACCTCCATTTTGGAGCCCCAGCAGGCTGATGACCATCTGCACCAACTCACATCCCTCTTGGGAATGTAAGTGGTGACGGTGGTGGGCTTCGGAAGCTCGCTTTCCTTAATGAAGGACAGCTGGGCTTCCAGTCACAGCTTCAAATTGCCGATCTTTCCCACAAGCCAGTCTGCACTTGCTTGGTCATTGCAGGTCAGAAGAATCCAGCCTAGGTTGTGAGAGATGCCCAGGCACTTTGGTCCCTCGCCATGCGCTATTGTGCGGACCAGAAACAGCTTCACCAGCTCTATTTGCTCCTCTGATATGGGTTCCGAATTCCGGATACCCACGCGCAGAGAGCCCGCCAATTCGTTCAACCTGGCGGAGCCTTCCTTGCGTGTTCCTGTGGCGACACCTCCTCTGACCGTCCATGCTTTTGCGCTTTGGAGATGGTTTAGGCACCGGAAGTTCACTCCAGGGCTTTTCAGTTAGAGGCAGAGCTTCTGCGTAGCTCATACCTGTTCTCATAAGGCCCTGTACTCTCTTCCGGCGAGACCCGCTCAGTCGAATGCGCGCCTGAGCTGCTGGATTCCGACCCAGGGGAGCCGAAGGACCCGCCTGGTTCGTATCCATAGCCGTAACAGTTTCAGCATACTTGGATGAAAAAAGTGACTTGTTAAAAGTGAGGTTCTTTGTGTTTGAAAGGAATATTGTGAATGTGAAATATACACATGGAATATTTTGCATTGAGCGACCACTGGAGTTGTTTACTCATTCTTTTCAGGGAAATCCACAGAAATTTTGATTATTTATATCTGTAGGAGAGTCAAACTTAAATGAATGAGCAGTGGTGATTAAGTGTAATTGCTTACAGAAATAAAGATATTTTTTTAATTTTTGCGACGGCTAAAGACAAGTACAATGGGACAAAAATCTTTGTTGGAAAATTATACCTTACCATTTATACATATGAAATTCAAAATATAGTTACACACATTTATGTAGCCAAAAGATATAATCCGAATCAGCACGATTGTTCCGATGGTACAGCACTAACTTAACTTTTGGCTTTGCCTATTTATTTTTATTCATTCTATCAACTTTTAACCAACATTAAATTTCATTTCAAAAGGAAACTTTTGATACCAAATTTAAAAATTAGCTATTCTTTTAATATTTAAGAAAGCTTCTAGCAATAAAAATCGACCTCCTAAAATATATAAATTTTGCCCATTCCAACATACATTAAATTAAAAAAATACATTTTACTATGTCGTAAAAGGTTTCTGTAATCCAGTATTATACATATATATATATATACAGAGATAGGGATAGGCTACTACTTCACTATTTTCATAAATAATTCATGGATGCGTTCTACACATTTTAAGATATAACGACTATCGTAATATCCATTTAGATTTGGATAGGATTACAATTTTGTGGGTCCCTTCCGTGGTACAATTTTTGTAATTTGACTCGTCTAGCTAAGCACGTGCCAATATTCAATTAACACGTCAAATTTCAAAAACTACAATAGTTGCGCCGAGGCGGATCAACCCAATATAGTACACAAGGTTCACGTGCATTAATCAAATTTAATTCGGTTGCCCCTTCACAACTTGGTTGTGGAGGGGCAGTTCACCCGTACAACCTCCTTTCTCGGCTGTTTTCACGTCAGGTATCGAAGTGGAAGATAAATAACAATGCTATACAGTTTTTGAAATTTATTGATTAGAGACATTCACACATCAACATTAAGTTATAAAATTGGAGTAACATATTCAATTATTTATTATACAATTCCTCATTTCTGAATGAGCAAATAATTAATAAATGTCGATTACGATATACAAGATAAAAGCAACTATTGCAAAAAATAACTCCATCAGCTATACTTCTGAATTATATTTACGTTTTGATTAATTTGAACACTAAACCCATTGAGGTGTAGCCAACAGAGATAAGATTGTTTATATTTAAAGACAAAAGAAACTACGGAGTCTGCATGTTGTGGCGGAGTACTTTGTAGTGGTACCGACAAGGTGACCCTATACGCTATTCAGTGCAACTACGTCTTTAACCAAATGTAGGCGTCCTCTGTCGCAAGTGACGTAGGTCTTACAGAGGCGTTTTGATGTATTGAGCATAATAGCAACGAATTAGCACACCACAAAGAACGCACCTCACACTTAGTTCACCATGCTTTATGTAGGTACTTCCGTACACCTAATATATTAAACACCTTACACTAATACGTGTATGTAAAGTTTGAGCTAGGTTAAGATGACGATCCCGGGAACATCGTCGGCGGCTAACGAGAATATCAGCTAAGTGTGGTTAGTACAAGTTTGATATGGAATGTCTCACTTGCATACTGCTAATACTTGGAGCCGGCCTCCCAATCATGCAGATCACTTGAAATTTCATAAAAAGTGTATAAAATTACAAAAATGTTTATGACATACAATTATTGGACTTGAATTACTACAGAAAAATGACACGTTGTATAATAGTATCAAACCTTATGAGTTGGACTAATTGTATGTAAGAAATGGGAATAGATACAGAAAAGACAGCTCTTATGATCGTGCTGCCTCCGCTAACTCGATATACTACTGTCTACTAGAATTATAATTATGTATGTCTGTATATTCATAAAAATTGTATAGTGTAATCAAAAACTTGGCCACTAAATTAAGTCCTAAGTTTTATAATTGTCCATTATAATAATTCAGAATGTTACGACAACCACAAGATTCCATATTCTGATCATGTGAGCCTAAACTTATATAATGATATCATCACTAAGGTATAAGCGACAATTATCCAATACTTAATTTCATGAGTTTGCATTTCAGAGAGCTGATAAACTAAATTTATACAACTTAACATAAATTAGGAGCTGAATATATAAGTTCATAATAAAAATTTAACACTAGTGGAGATAAATGGAAATCATTTTTAGTCGCGCTCACAATTTACAATGTTTTTATTCTTTTACCTTGACACACAAATAACAGAATATTTTATATGAACAAAAAATATTTTGTGAAATAAAATGTCTGCAATCTCAATTATTTCTTATATACATAATAGTAATGTATCAAACTAGTAAAAACGATGATATTTTATCATCTAGCGGTATACCATTTAAATTTAATACAATATTAATAGTTGATACGATTGAATAATTACCAATAATTAATGTTAACAGCTTTCCAATGATAAAAGCTTCAACATCTCTCGATTAGTCGCGAGGTGTCTTCAGTCGCACCAGAGTGCATGTGGCACAATTATAGTATATACAACAACCTTCGTGTACAATGCGCTCAGTTATTTGACACCTTCATTAACTCTACATGTACTACGTCGTCGACCTATCTTTTTCTACTTGATCATACATAACCAAACGCATCGTATTTCTAAACAGGAAATATTCAACACATTTCATTACGTTATGTGGTTGTTTACGTTTCATAATTTGAGCAAAATGTGTAGGTGAGATCGAATATATGTTTAAAATACATACGGACAGAATGAGAACAACGTGAGCTTCCCGTTCGATATGAAAAAGAAAGGTTATTTGAGAGCTAGTGTAGGAGAATCACGCGACAACGTCAAAACTAATACCCCTGTAATAATGGCACCAACTTATCGCACCGTATACTGCCTACATAACTTTGTTATTGTATATAATTATAAAAAAACTCGATCCTAGCGAATAAATGTATAAAATCTTAATTTTACAGAAGCAAAGCACGCTAAACTTATTCTATGATCATTCTATACGAAAGGTCACGTTTGAAACTGAATCCACATCTTTCGACATTGCAAAATGCTCGAACTTAGTTCGACTTCACTCCACAGTACTAATTGGAAATAAATAAAAGGCTCATTTTCCGACACATGCCTTATGTACGCGGGAAGCGGGAGTGCGGATCCACATTTAGTTTGCCACCGTTACGTCGGTCGTCGTCTCCTGCAACTGATACAACATATTGATTATACTAACTTCAAGTTGGTTAACCACTTGTCAAAACTTAGTGATCTTTTATTGATTATATTTACCGTTTCAGTGTTTAAGTCTGGCACGACAGGGACTTCAGGGATCAAATCGGCTAACTTGTCAGATACGGGGAGAGGCTCCTGAAACCATAACACACATTACCAACAAGAGTAAAAGTTTCTATCCCAAAATTGTTACATTATATGTTCATATTTTTGTAATATAAAACCAATAAATAGCGCATACAAAACATCTAAAATGGCAGTTGTTGAATGTCGCACACAAACAAAATGTAGTACAAAGAAAATTAATATTGTGATTTTATTTACACAAATGGAAATTGACAAGTTCTCGAAATAGACAGTTCATTCATTAATCAGTAAGAATTACAATTTCGTGTTAGCACTGAAGCATTAGATGTTCATGCTGTGAATCCTACATGGGGGATAAGCATCGGAAAGGGATAGGAACGAGGGTATGGCGAAGGACCACTTTCGGTTTCATAATTTTAAGTAAGTACGATTCAATAGAGCACACTCCAATCTTCCAGTTAATGACGTCGACGCATGCTGGTAGATGCACATGGAACTAAATTACAACGGTTAACGGGATGCCAAAATGGTCCATAAGTTAGCTAATCCACTACAAGAGCAAGAGTGCGCGGTCGTATTCACCTGGGGCGTGTCGTTGGCGTGTGGCGGAGGCTCGGCAGGCGCGCACAGCTCGGCGGGCGGCGGCGGGAACGCGTCGCTCAGCTCACTACCCGCCGCCTCGCTCGCCTCCGATAGTGATGGCGGCAGCGACTCCTCCGGGGTAATCACTTTCTCCTCTGTGATCTCACTCGCCTTTTTCTCAATTGTCGCTTCTGTGGTGACTTCCTCTACGTTCCCATTGCTTTCGAAGTTTTCTTTCGCGTTGTCAATCAAATTCTTGTTTTTGTTTTTCAAATTTTGGTGATCCACATCTTCGTTTCCGTTAAGAATCTCCGAACTGACTCCGTTAACCTCAACGTTGTTCGATATGTGATCGGGTTTGACGATAACTTCCTTAATTTCATTTGCAGTTACCGACGGCACGTCGGCACTAATATCTGTGAATTCATTATCAAGTGGGGGTGGAGGAGGTAAATCGTCAATAGAATCCATAGTCTCTTTCGGTAGCGCAGGAGTCTCTAAAATTTTGTCACATTCGAATGAAACGGGACTTTCCAAATCACTTTCATCTTTTATTTGCTTCTGATTCTCGTCTTGAATTCCCTGGATTTCTACGTCTTCCTTTTCAATGACATTTTCCTCATCTTCTACAGCAATATTGGAGTTTAATAATGCGCTGTCTACAGTTGTAACTTCGGAACGATCAATGTCTTCAGCTTGCTGTAATGTTGTAATTTCAGATTCAATTTTCATTTCAATTTGTTCCTCAACGTTAACTACTTCTGTGAAGGAAGAATGTTCAACCAATGCTTCCGTCGAGGGATTGTTTTCGATTTTACGACCTACATCAGAGGGTAAGTCCGAGTGTGGTTCAGGTGCGATCACATCAATATTACTAGCGTTGGTGTCAGGACTTGAGGGCAGTGCCGAGATTACGAGTACAGTGGTGTTAGCTAGCGAAGCATCTGTCAGTTCTGGTGCCATTGTGGTAGCGGCAAAGGATGCCACTGACGAGGGAGGAGGATTCGCGGGGAGAGGTGGGGGAATGGATTCTACGGGCATTTGTTCAACACAAACCTCTTTTTTAACAGGAATTTCAGGGGCCGGAACGGTTTCTGATGCGACTGCAGCAGGCTCGGGTTTGCTATCGTTGGTTTGAACGGCTTCGGAGATTTCTAGAGAGAGACCATTAACAGGCAACTGCTCAGGTTCGGATTCAGCCTTAGGTTCGGGCTTGGCGGATTCAGGTTCAGCGGGCGCAGGTGTAGGTGCAATTGGCTCTGCAACTGCAGGAGCTGGAGTCGGAATCAGTGCTGCAGCGGTCGGAGCCGGGACGGAGGCTGCGACTGGGGCTGGCTCTTCGGGCACGAGAGACGCGGCCTTAGGCTCCTCAGGTGTACTGCTACCATTTGTCAGAGGTTCAGTCACAGGAGTTTCAGGAGTTTTCTCATCTTTAACTTCTGTTTTAGGTAGCGCTTCTTCTGCTACTTCGTTTGTTGCATTGTCTGGTGTGGCTTCAGAGGCCTATGAAACAATCACAAATTATTTGATTAAAAATCTTGAGTTAATTTTTAATTTCAAGAAAAACGATATTGGTAAAAACAAGGATTTATAAAAAAAGGTTTTAATGCTTTTTTTGAACATATGATATATTGATGCAACACTGTCACTAAATGATGGAAATTCAACACTGCTAGGTACCTTGTTATCGGCCATGTTAAGCAAATCACTAATCTTAGCTGCCCTCAAGAAATCTCACCCGCGACTGAAGGGAGACCGACTTGCGCAATGTCATATATAGAGCCATTTTTTGTTACGGAAGATTGACGCTCATTTTTAGATAAGTAGTTACCCTTCAATGCTCATGATCGAACACATATTATGTTGCACCAGATAGGGTTGGCACAAAAAAAAAAAATAAACAGCCATTGGAAACTTAAGACAGACCTGCATGGCACTTTACATACACTATCGATATTGTCACAAAAATAATTATAGTGTTAAGGGAAGGTTCACTTTGTTCTTTAAGAGTTAACATGGATTGCAGATTCTTTTTTTTATTTTATTTGGTTTATTTGGGAATAATCAAATTACAATTTATATACAGGCTTGTAGTGTGCTAATAAATATAACTTAAAAAGGACGAAAAACTATATATATAAAAGCATATATTCAGAAGTAACTTGCGTTAAAGATGAAGGTAATTAACATAAAGGTCTCAGTATGTTGGTTTACAATAACTGTTGTAAAAAATGATGCATGCCAATGCATGATAATATATTAAACTTTAATTTATTCTAAACAGAATTCTGAGTAGTCAGATCTAAGAGAATAATCTATCGGGACGTCAATGCAGTGTTATATACAAATGTGGTCAGCACATAAAATCGGAGTAAAGATTTGCAAAAAATAAAAAAATATATTTATTTCCAGAGACATGCAACCGCAGGGTTGTGGTGGACAATAAAACGATACTAGTACACAAGGCCGTCTTTGTTTACTGATGTAGAAAGATACGCCTCAAATGCTGTACTAATAGACGCGCTCGATCAATGCGTCGTAAACATTTGGCAGCTCATGTCTTGTCATATAAATAAGAAATGTTTTATTTGAGACGCAATTATGGCAACAATTTATTGCTTTCAATAGATATTGTATAAACAAATAGTGCAAAACAAATCTGATATTCAATACTTTAATATTTAACAACACTCACAACGTTACTAGATTCTATTTTAATTAATCAAGTTAGTAGCGCTTATAAACTTAACGTACCTAACACTTTTAATTTAAAATTATATAATGTACCGTGCGTCACACTTAAACAAGGGTCAACAATTATTTTTGTTAATTGTATCTTTATAACATCTACAAGATGTTAAAATTTTCAGTATAAAAAAGTGCTTAGATACATAACTATGTATAACTTAATATGTGAACGGATTATTGGACTTAACTAGATTCGTAATTCGTTAGGAATGAAATTTTTATAAACTAAATTCTACGTTACAACGACGGCACAGAATTATTATTTACGAAGTAAAACTGGCTGCGGTTGAAAGACCTCCTTAAGGTTATCAAACATCACACTTAGGCCAACCGCGACCGTGAGTGTATATTATGTGGGCCTAGTTAATAGATACATAGCCGTTATTATGATTAAAATTTAATTGTGAAGCGATTGTTAGCAGTTAAGTGCAACGACCCGGGTATGCGAGCAGCCATGGCACTCACAAAGTTATAGATTAAAATACAATTCTAATAGTATAAACGTCTCCGGCATATCCCAATGTGTCCATCTTTATTAGTGTTCGTGTATTAGAGAGAGCAAATATGTTGAAGATACAAGTGCTATGAGGAACCAGTATTAGAAACGCGTAATGTTTCTACTAAATATATAGTAAAAGATTAGAACAGGCACATTCTAAGTCAATATTGTATCGATAACATGTGGTGTATTTCATCATAATATTGTGAATACAATCAAATCTTGCTACATTGTAATGAACCGCTTATATACAACGGTGTAGTTTACTTTTACAGTGTTTTACTCTTTACATTTCATATTCAGGATCGAAACACGTATTTCTCCGTAATGGGAATTAAGCATATTCATCGAAACAAGCTTATAATAATGCAGTATTGCACTGTACGTATACAATTAAATATCAGACCCAATGCTCCAGGACAAACAACAAAATAGAAAGGCGATTGTTAAAGCTTAAAGTTGCATTAGACAGATTGGTATTAAGACGGGCATTATTAATGGATCTCATACAGACAAAAGTAGTCATACAATAAGTACTTTTTTTTTTTCAAACACCATAGGTTGAGTGTGTGTTTCGCAGAAAATATAGCTTGTATTAAGCTCATCGCACTTTCGCGAGCCGCAGTTAAATCCAGTAGTAGGTAACGGTAACCAGACGGTGGGGGACGATGACTCACCGTCACTTTAATACAATACCATGACCGTCAGCCTATGGAAATAATTTTCCGCTCTAAAACACTCGCACGTGTCAATGTTTGACTTCTACATTACGCTCTCTAGCTGAAAGTGGAACATTTTCTCAATTTGTTCCACGTTCATTTTCCATAAGAATTTATCGAGTCAATTTTTATATGGTAGCACATTTTTTATATCATATAACCACGTTGGCTATCTTGAATAAATCAGAGCACAAGACTCGCATTACAGCAGTGAATAGTCGTCTTACTGGTGAGGAGTTAGTAACAAGTACAGAATGAAAAGGACACTTAGTGCATTGTGATACACTTCACCGACATAAGTAGCGAGCATCGGGCGTCGTGTGACCGGCGGACGAGTATAATTTGCATGAGCAATAAATAACGGAGGAGATAGTACCGCGCCGGGTACGGACACACTGCTGTCGTATAACTCAAAACTAGCCAGTGGCCACTTATCACTAGTTGAATGAACTGTCTAACCACTCGTCATTTACGCAAATCAATGCTTACAGAAATGCATACAGAACATGTTAATTCGTGTTTTTTTTTCTGTTTTCAAATATATCACTTTTAAATGTAATAAGAGCATACAGTTGCCCCAGACTATAGTACTATCTGTGTAATATGCATATAATGCAAACACGGTTATTGTATAAACAAACTGCGGGCGTAGAGTAGTGAGTAATACACGTAAATATGTACATACAATACCTACGTATTCAGCTCAAGATATCGTTGTTTCGACATTCTGGCAGACCAGCTAATTACATTAATAAAGCCGTCTGTTCCGGAAAACAATACGGCTTTTGTCAGTAACAACTACTGTTTTCAACCAATTTAGAATGACTAGCGTCTGCGGCAAATTCAGTAGTTGACTTCAGCTCACTTAATTGATTTAATCGGTAAAGTAGACAGAAAGGATGCTGACTCGCTTTGTTGCAATAATTAGTGACGTTTTTAGAGACGCAAGTTTGAAATAATTAACTCAGAGGACTCGCAAACTGAGAAAATAAACGTATTTGGGAGTCAAAAACTATTGTAAAATCATATTTCTGAATTTAAGTTTAATTTTACATTTATGCATGTTTAATGTCACTCTTTAGAAAGCACGGTTAAGCCGTGTTATGCCAACCACATACAGCCGACATATTATGAAAATACGACAGATGAACCGACTGCAGTGAGGACCCAATGTTGCCGCATGATTTAGTAAACATGCAACACGAACTGAACGTTCTTCGTGTTACTCTACCGGTAGTGAGTTTTAATACATTACGGCACAGGCACCCGGTATTGTTCATTCGATGCTACATCAACCGGCACACAAACATGTCCCACGGAAATCGTCTGCGTTTGTAATATGAGTTCAATTGAAGAAAGCATTGTTAAAATTCTTAAGCAGATTGACATTAATTAAACACGCATGAGGAATTTCAATGAAATCGTTTACTTTTTTGATTAGTGATGTTTTTCGCATTATTACTAGGACTATTTTCTTCTTTTTTTTTTCAATTTTTATTATAAAATATAGTCATGAACGCTAAAGCTACGATTAAATAATGGTAGTGTACTGAGGACATAGGGACGTAAGGCAACCGGTGCGCCGACCTCCTACGAATCGCAACCCGTCCGGTGCTCGGTCCACCCGCCCACGAGTAGCGTCGCAAAACCTGCCAAGCCAACCAGTGCTAATTTTATTTTGCACCGCAAACTTGTTTCCTAATGCTCCCAGTCTTTGCGTCATCGACTCGCCAAAGTATTTTATACACTTAAGTGTACACCGAACTTTAAAAACTATGCGGGTGTATGTTAAAAGGTCCCTGGCTTGAACTTACAGCGAACACTCAGCGAATAATAATAATAGTATGATTGCATCCACAATAGAATCTATTATATACCGATTTAGCTACTGCGCCACATCCAGTCTGAAAGGCTATTATTATTTGTGTATTCCGTATTCGGGAGTTTAAGTACTGCGTGAGATGACTGTCAAGGTTTTATCCGGAAAATAACGACGCGTTGTTGTTTAAATATGCCAAACTCTCGACGTGGGAGGCAGAGCGCAGTAAGCTAATGACCGCGAGAAACATATGGCTTGATATAAGTAAACACTTCGGATCCGTATTCTTCACGTTATAATAAGTAATTAATAGTTATGTACAGAATACTCATTATTACAGTTTTATTTACAAACAAACATTCTTAAACAGGCGTTAATGTTGTATGGTAATATTGAAAACTGCATAGTACCCTATTTAAATAGTAAAAATTTCCTGAAACATGACCATAATTTCATAACAACTATATTAGTAATGGTGATCGGTGATGACCGTTATTTTCTATAATAGACATGAGTTAGTCAGTCACTGGACTTACTCTTTAAATAAGTAATAATGAATGAGTCTTTATTTTAAGAAAGCAGAGGTGTTTATTTGATCAAGTTGTAACTTTTGAGTCATACTTTCACCTTCGTAACATAACCAAGTAGAGTGAAACGGCAGTAACCTTTACATTGTATACGCAAACCGAAAAACATTACTGAATTCATGTTAATGGTATATTACACGTAATGTAATTTGCATTAGACAGTGGCGGGACAACGTGGGCTAAGTCGTCAATGAACCAAGCTCGCCGGTAATGGCACGTTATCGTCTTCGGCAGCGGCGGCGCACGTTTGGTTAGCACGGATATAGCACCACTTTGAATTATAATGAGTATTGTTCCTCGCGCGCGCCGGTTCAGGTGCAACGCACTACGGCGCAATAGCTTCTTGCTTGTCATAGAAATCGTCGGTTTCTACTTGTACAGCCAAGGTCACATCATATTTAAGTTAAAAACTTAAACCTACATGTAGGTCTAAAGTATGCAGATATACGTGTAACTAAAAGTTAATTATCTACTTATAATCCGTTAACATACGCCTATCTTCCATGGCTTTATATTAGGTTAATCGATTTCTCTGCGTCGAGTTTTTGCTTGCGCTGTCAAGGGATTGAAGCCGTTGTTAGAGCAACGGTACTCGCGAACTCAATGTAGCTCCAGCGCCCTCGTACCAGTTTCTAACACACGTGCTCACGATTTCACATTGCTTCTGAATCGCACTGAGAAGGTTAACGGCACAGCGAAGTGTGAATTCAATAAAAATATAAACTTATCCGGCGCATGATATCTGATTATCTGCATATATCGCATGATATAGAACTGATACTGTGAACATTTAAATGTAGGCCAGGCAGTCTGATGATGGATGCGTTACGCCAACAATCACGACGGGAAACTCACATCACACATACTTTGTTGGCGTTGATGGAATACGAATACCTATTGACGGTTGAATAGTAGAAAGCTATCACTAACAATGGAGTAAAATTTGAATGCAATATTTACTAGTCTTCAGAAACTTACAATTTTTTATTCGATTTTACTACAAGAAATTATGTTGTGGGGTCAGTTTTTTGGCCTTTTGTAAATGATTAATATGATTATGAACTCACCTCTTCGGGCACTTTCTCTGGCTCCCCATTCGTTTTGGGCTCCTCCTCTTTTTGTTTCTTCTCCTGCTTGGGTTTATCTTTTCTGCTGAAACTGATCGATCTGAGCGACCATTTCTTCTTGACCTGCCCGTGACATGCTTTGGGTTAATGAACATGAAAATGTGCACACACATGCGGTATGTTAAGAAGGCGTAGATTAATGTTTATGAGTACTTGAAAATATGGAAACGTTATATCTAAAAACATGAAGAAATCTACGTAGTTTCACATTGTCGATACATCATAAATAGGTACTTAAAATTTCAGTTTCAATTAATAGTTAATAAAACTGTTAGCAATTAGTATACATTAAATAATCACCTTCTCTTTCTTCGGTTTCTTGCTTTCCTCGGGGGCAGGCGAGGAGTCTCCGATCTCTGCTTTGGCCTCAGTATCGCCGTTCGTTACAGGAGAAGCCTCTTTCTCCTTGTCGCTCTCGTTGTCTTGTTCTTTGGCCTCCTTTTCTGTGGTGGCATCCTTTTCGTTCTCTGGAGTACCGCTATCGAGTTGTTTCTCTTTATCCTGAAAGAAATGCAAGTTCAATAAAACGCAATAACTACGCATTCGCAGTTTGTAACAGGAAAGGTCGTTACCCCCCAGTTTATAATTGCGCTTATGTACATAGCAAAAACACGCAATTATTTGTTACCCTTTACTTTTTTTCCAGAATTTTATGCGACTGTAAAGTTATCTAAATAGCGAATGTAGTCATATTTATGTTCCAAAACATTTTTTAAAAAGTCATCTTATTTGGTGATGGAAAAAACAATGTAACCAACCGTTACTCCTAAATTCTTCGTTAATAAAGAGCTTCGTGTAATTGGTCAATTACTTAGTGTCAAGTTAACGACATACCATAACGTTGTGTGTTTATAAAAGACGCTAAAGCAAGACTAAGTTTATGCGATATTGTCTCTTATTAACGATTTGAACAACGTCCGTTTTCTTCTGCATAAGATAGAGCCGTTATCTCGACAGGAAGCAGTGGGACGCATGTCTGCGAACTAAATACTCAATAGAAATTCCAGCTCCAATATCATACGCACTAAACATTCGTAACACTATCTTAAAGACAGATATGCTTGTTAAAGTGAGTACAAACAAAGCGCATCGACTTCATTGTCTTCGTGCGACTAAGTAGTTATATAAATATTTAATGAAAACAAGGTTCGACAAGAGTTGTCACGATTCATTAAAATATACACAAAATCAACTGAGTCCCAAATTTCATTTGTATTAATTATTAAAAAAAAATAAGTGCGCATATGACCTCCGTCTCACCAAAGTGACGATGAGGTCGACGATGGAGCACGCACACTTAAATAATGCCTATTCTCGCTTTGAAAAGGCCCAACTTATAGATTTCAGGGAATAAGCCTGCAGGCAGGGAATTCCACTCTCTAGCCGTTCGCCACATAAATTGCTAATAGCGTGTAAAAATTGTGGCAGTTTCTTATCTACTGTCCGTCGTGGGAAAGGTGAAATTTGTTTTGGTTTGGTGGTGGCGGAATTTGTGACATTTAAGACCAATGTAAAATGAAAACCTCAGCAAGTCTATATTTAATGGTTTGCTTAGTGTTATTTTAATTCTCATTGTCAACTGGTCGCCGGTGATTTATAGTTGTTCGACAGTACTTATGAATGTCGACCTCCACGCACGACGCCGGAACGTGAAAAATTAAGAGCCCTATTGAAGCCTTAGGAAACGACGCGTACTTGACATGTTTCCTGTCGCGAAGTAGAATCGACAGTGACCAGGCGACATTGTGTAATGTATTGAGCCTCACAGTCTGTTCGTGGATGTGCGCATCGCCGTTGAGCTGCGGCTTGAGCGCATCAGCGTCAGCCAGCGCCTCCACACGACCCTCGCCGCCCGCGCCCGCCGCTACCTCACCAGCACCCTCAGCCTCCTTTCCGCTGATATCCACCGAGCGTTTGCTCTGCTTGGCACCCATGTTCGCTGTTCTCTCTTCTTTCTGTTACAATCACAGACAAAAAGAATTTCATATCAATTTATTTACTGTGCTACTAAATCAATGTATCAGAATTATTTTGTCTGATGAAAGCTTAACGAAACAGGTATAAATGAAGTTGTAAAAAAGGTAGTTACATATTCTGTAATTGTTAGGATTAAGACAAAGGAAATAATAAATTGATGCGAGTGGACATTGGAAACCATTGATATTTTCATTTCATTCCATACGTCATATTATGAATAACATATTGCGAAATCTCACACAGAGCAATTTTGTGGAAACGATGCGTCGTTTTTATGTCGGAAACAGCTTTACAAATCACTTCAATGACACATGTACCATTTATAATTTGTACTGCATTGCATGAAATGTTTAGTCTATGGTTTGACTTGACTTGACTGACGCAATGAGGCAACGCTTTAACAATAGATTTTTTTTTAACGATAGGCCTTTGCTCTACGTATGGACAAGTATAGCTGACCTGATAAATTAAAGGCACAATATAATGAGACAAGAAAGGTGCAAAGAAAAAACAGTATTCTTGAAATTTAAGTGACCCTCGAATGTTGGAAAATAGTGAAATATTGCGGCGGTAAACAGAACGTGACGAGACGTGACTTATTATTCTTAATCGTTAACTAATTTAATCGACTGAAAGTAATGTAGAATTTAGGTCTTTGTTAGTACTAACGAAGAAACAACGACCATAAATAAAAGGGGACGAACAAATTTAAAGCGCTGTCGGATGGGCAAGTTTACTTTTGTTATTACAATCGCTAGTTATAGTCATTGCATAGAAAGACATCAAAGACGGTTGTGACGGATAATAATCAAGTTAGGAATCGTACTTAGACTAGAGTGTTCACGGGTGTATAACACTAATGACAGCTTAGTTTAAATTCTTTCGACATACTTATCATTACGGAAGTAAAACCACTTGAAACATTTCTAAATTTCCGTTGCTAGTGAACGTGACTTTCATTCAAAGATAATAAATCTACAAATATTTTATCAGATTTGTACCTTTAAATACATTATCGAAAAAAAGCAATAAAGGAAATTTAACTTTCTATCCACTGAACGTTGTGGTGATAAGAGCGTACGAAATTCGGACAGTACAAACAGTAACAATGAGTATTATCAAACTTTATAAGGTAAAAATATAATCTAACAATCGTAAAGTGCCCGATTTGTTTGCCACAAAAATACTAGGCACTGGAGATAAATATATATGTATAATCGATTCAGGTATGCGGAGGAACCGATTTGGAATACAAAGCACGTCAGTGGGTCACGGCGCTGGGAGCCGGCTCAAAATAATATCTACGACTAAAATAGTACCTCTCAACGAAAGTGCATGGCTGCATCCCGATGCGACATTGCGTTCCTTTTATAACTGACTCTCGCCCGCCGCTCTGCTCTAGGACTATATGTAAATAGTGGAAAGGTCAACAATAAATAGCTTTTCATAATGGTACTACGCCTACCATTGTTGCTACGTAAATATTAACAAGAGTCTTTTGATCTCAATAAGTACCTACTACAATTTACCACGTAAAATAGAAAACAGCAACGTAGTAATTACTGTGCTCTATAAGCCATTGTCCCACACGGTATTGTAATGCTGATGATAGACTAATCAATTTAAAACAAGTCCTAAGTGCTTAATTGGAAATATTACATACAGTATAATACACATATTAATGAGAATGAATAATGATTGATAGAAGGTGAATCATTGTTCATAAAAACTAAACATAATACACTCAACACACAAAGACGCAATGATTTTTTTTATTACACTTTATTCATTGAAATTAATTGAGAGAACAAAAATAGCTTTCCTTATTTAATACAAAGTTCACTGACCAACCTAATGACTTAATATCTCAATAACAAATGTTTTTTACTCACATAACAGAAAAACAAGTACTATTGCAGTAAAGCACGTTGTTATCACGTTGGAAGCCTAACCGAGAGTGTAGGAGTTGCGTCTGGTTATCAGGCTCATTGGTCATTAGCAGGGACCGAATTCCTAACGCATCACAACATTATCCTAGTCGTTACTCTCAATACAAATAGCAGCGACGTTTGTCACAAAGGGCCCCAAGCTTATCGCCCAACGTAAACGTCAAACGCAGACTAAAATATCGCCGTCTTGACGCCGATACCTTCGTTTTCAAGTTGTTACTTCAAGTAATACTCTTATAATATTATTAAATCGCAGTTGCTTTCGTTTTGTATGTAGTAACGTTTAGTAAGAAAATAACTGGATACATGTGTTGAAGTTCACATTTAACCCATGTTTACGTTTTGTAAAATTGACGTTTTTATTTTTACTAAATAATTTCTTGTTACTAATAGTATTTCCTACGAGAATGATATTTCAATTTGCGAACACGTTTAAATTAACAATCCTTGTAGATCTGTGTTTATTATTATCCTATGTCTGTATTCACGTTGTGATGTGATTGCAAATTGTGGCATTCATATAATAAATCAATTATAGATTTTATATTTAGTACCAGTGCGAGAATACACAAAGAAAACTATAATCCACAGAAAATATATCCATCTCATTAGTCCAAATACATAAATATCTAAGCGACAAATGAGAGGAGCTGCCCATGTGTCCTATTGTTTCACAGTGCCGTTATTTCGTGGGAAATTATCATAATATCATTTGTGCTCAAACGTAACGAGTAAACGACCGTTCTTTGTGCAGAGAGCGTCAGTCATCATGTAGTTATTTCAAATTGGTTCACGCATCGAGGTGATTGACCTGTTTTATGCCCCCACTACGTTAAGTTTTTTAGGCTGAGGCAGTCAACCCGAACTTATTGTCGTCCACGCTACAATGGGAGGCACTCCAAACAGGGTACAATTTAAATAAGATTCAAAGTATCTGCGACCTTGACTCGGGTGTTTTCAAGGTCGACCGCTTTACCACTAATATAACCACCAATTTTGTTGTATATGTAACGTGTATGTTGGCGCGATGTCCCGAAGGCGAAGCGGTTTTAAACAAAAAAACATACGTGCCGACCCCTGTCATGAGGTCTTATAAGTGTGTTGATTTTGTTTCTATTTATTACGCTTCTTTTCTCTATAAAATAAAACTATACCACGAAACCGTTTACTTTTTACAATAATTATTTTTTGTGGATCCATTTAAAAAGTTACGTGATAGTTAGGTAATTTCCATGCATGTCCATTTAACTAAGCTATTAATTTCGAAAGGCTGACCTAAATAACCAAATGTAATCATAACTACTAATTGGGCAAATATAAATATAAATGAGCAAATAGTGTTTACTTTTACAAATAAGGAAATTATTAAATATTTTTATGCTAAGGTAATAGGGTAATACTAGGGTAAATTTTCGTTTGACAGTTTTACCTCGCCATAAGCGATTAAAAATTCGTCATCGTGTATCTAGTCGGTATCTGTCTTTTGTTGTTATCTACGTGTTTTATTGAATACACCATTACTGGCTAAGTGCGAAGCAATGTAACATGAGGACAAAATTCCTAGAAACGTTTAAATTGAGAAGGAAATCATAAAGAAGCCAAAGACATCTATCTACATGTTATTGCAAAGTTACTAATGTAACGCGTGTATGCACCGCCTCTAGTGCATGCGCGCCACCCGGTAAGTGGAAAATCAATCGCGTACAGTTGCGGACTTAACCGCAACCAACTCACCGTCTTGTCACATGAGCCATCATTTCTAACAAATGTAACTGTAAACAAAGTTATAGCTAGGTTAGGTTAGGTAGGTACCTGATTACGTGGCAGGAAATATTTGGATTACAGTTCGTAGTGTCGTGTACTACAAAATGTGAATTATATTCATCATCATCAAACCATTCACACGTCCCACCTAGTTCACCACGATAGCCCAAAAAGGGTTGGCTACTTTACACGTTTCCCGAGGGTTGTGAACCTTCTACGTGTACGTTTCACGATGTTTTCCTTCATTGAAAAGCTCTGGTAAATTTCAAATTAAATTTTGCACATTAATTCCGAAGAACTCGAGACGTGCGAGCCCGGATTCGAATCCACGGCCTCTGCTTGAGAAGCGGTAGGTCAAACCATTAGGCTACCACAGCATTTTCAATTATATTTATTTAATTATATTACAACACTGAAACATTTTGGTGACAGATATCATAGGGTTACTAATTTAATATAATATAGGTATGGATTTTAATTCATACCATTGTTATAGTCGCCAGAATGGAGGAAATGGGTATAATAAAATGCAAATAAATAAACAAACAGAGGGACAAAAGCATGGTGCTAATTATTTCCTGGACACTGTTCACTCATTAACAGTTTACTTCCGTCATTTTGACCAGGGAAATTGTTGTGTTATTCCACCACAATTTACAATCGCCTGGTTAGATATCTCTCATAAATTTAAATAATAACCTTTTGCGCCAATGACGATACTTAGATTGAACTTTTGAAACGAAACTATTATAATAAAGTAAAGCCACTAGTTTG